CGGGGCCGCGACCCGCAAGGCCGGGGGTGAACGCGGCGCGCCCGAGCCCCGCCCCCAGGGGCAGGCCCCGCCCCCTCCTAAAGGGGCCAATCACAGCTAAGCACGATGGAGGGGGCGGGCTCCTCTGCCTCTTTAATGTGTCGGAGCCTGACTTGTTTATGCACCATGAATTTGACCCAAGTGGGATGTTTGTTTGTTTGACGGGCGGAAAAGCAAAGGCGTGGAGAAATTAAGCAACTTGCGTAAGTCATACTTCTAGGGAAAGGCCAACCTGTTAGCACGCACGCCTTCTTTTTTTCTTTTTTTTTTGAGGTGGAGTCTCACTCCGTGGCCCAGACTGGAGTGCAGTGGCATGCTCACGGCCTCCCCAGCGTCCCCCATCTGGGCTCCGGCGATCCTTCCGCCTCAGCCCTCCAAGTAGCCGGAACTACAGGCGCGCGCTACCACGTTGGGCTAATTTTTGATTTATTGTAGAGAGGAGTGCTCGCCCAGTTGCCCGGGCTGGTCTCGAACCCAGGGGCCCAGGCAATCCCCTCGCCTCGGTCTACCAAAGTGCTGAGATTACAAGCTGAGCCACTGAACCCAGCCACACCTTCTTTTAATACCTTTGGATGTGAGTATCTGGCATCTGAGAGCAAAAGACATGCTTTCTATCTATGCTCCTCTTCCCTGCTGAATTCACCATCAGCACCAAAGGGCAGCAAGGGTTCCAGTAGTAAAGTTAGGCAGATGTCCCAAAGTTCAAGATCTTTTAAACTGCTGGGCCAGGAGTCCCTCAGAGACACTAAGGATTGTTAGCTACTGTCAGTATCCCATGCACGCATTTGAACTCACCGGTTCAGGACCTGCTAAGACATTAACCTTGGGATCATGGATTCATTGCCCTCACTGTCTCTCCCTACCCCCATGTAGGAGGCACTTCTTTTTGCTTCTTCTAAGATGATCTTTCATTCTTTTCAGGGGTGTGCTCTCATTCTGCTATTCTGGGAATTGGTAAATAAACTCATAGCACCTGGTCTACATTCTATATAATTTTAAACTTTGGTCACATCTTTTCAGAGGGGGTCCTAATCTTTTGGGCCTGGCCTCAAATCCCTACTCTAATTGTTGTTATAAAGGTTGTATGGTGGTGCTAGTGCAGGAGTTTACCGGCTTAGAAATCTGGCTCTGGCAGACACCAGGCCCTCTGAGGTTGAATGGTGTGACAGAGGTGAAGTAATTTCACTCAGCTGCTGTGGTCAGTCATGTGAGCAGGTGTGGGCAACAGGTGCGTGAGCCAAAGCCTCTACTTCCTGTCTCAAATCCGGCCTCCTTACAGTCAGCCAACATCTCAGGTGAATCAGTGGGAACTTGTAAATCAGAAACAAGATTATCTACTCCCAGTAGGAGGCTTCAGTTCCCTCTGGTGGCCAAACGATGTTACACACACTGGTTTCCACGCTTAATGTGAGAAGTGTGAACCATCCTTAGTCAAAGCTGGTTTGCTTTTAACAACTGAATTTGAAAGAACTTCAAGCTAGATGGAAAACTAAGGAGGAGAAATAAAAAAGGAGGAAAATCTAGTTTGTCACTTTCAAAAGAAATAGTACAATAGTGTGAGTGCCTGCCAATTACAAACATTTCATCCTTAACCTGTTAAGGAAAGATTACATGTAATTTCAAATTTGGAGTTCTAATCTCAGATCTGTCACTATCACATCATGTGGTCATGGAATTTTATCTCACCTTTGGGCCTCAATTCTCTCATCTAAAATGAGGAGTTGAAGTAGGTAACATCTGATGCCTCATCTTGCTTTATATCCTATTTTTTTATTAAAATGCAAAATGCAAGATTTTTGTAAGTTTTAGAATGACAGTTTTTTTCTTTGCAAGAGGATAAAAAAATTTTTAATGTGTTGCTACACCATTTATTGCTGGCATACAAAATAACAATAGACCCCATCACAGTCCCATTTAAAAACACGTGCCCAGAACTCAATGTCATGCATCAGAGCCTGAGAATGAGGACCAACCTTCCAGCTTTAATCTCAATATCCATCTTTGCTCTTGCGGTTTCCTGTGCCCCAAATGCTCTTCCCTCGGCTACCGGCATGGCTGCCTCATGCCCATGAAGATCTCCACTCAGATGTCAGTCCTCAGAGGGACCTCCTAGGCCATGCTTTCTAAGAAGCCTTCCCAGTTACTCTCTGTCAGACAGCCCTGGTTATTTCTTTTATGGCAATCATCACAGTCTGTAATAACAGCATTTATTTATTTAGCTTCTAGAATGGAAGCTCCAGAAGAGCGGGAATGTTGTCTGTCTTGTCTGCCCTGGTGTCTTCAGTGCACAGAGTGGGCATGAAGTAAATACTTATTGAATGACTGCCTGACATTGAGTAATAGCACATAGAGCCTTATAAAATCAACACTCGGAAGTGAGGACGATTAATCAAGATAAGTATAATAACCGGGCACTACATCTTGTGCTTGGCAAATTCTCCTCATTGGGACATTAGGGGAAGCCCTTAGCCAGGAGTGACTGAAGGAATTATTCCAGATTCTGTTGCTTCTTATCCTGGCTTTGTTTGTTTCTCTTCCTTCCTTCCTTCCTTCCTTCCTTCCTTCCTTCCTTCCTTCCTTCCTTCCTTCCTTTCTTCTTCTTTCTTTCTTTTGAGGTGGAGCCTCACTCTGTTGCCCAAGCTGAACCTCCTAGACTCAGGCAATCCTTCTGTCTCAGCATCTTGAGTCACTGAGAATTCAGGTGTGTGCCACCACACACAGCTAATTTCTTTCTTTTGGTAGAGAGGAGTTTTCACTATTTTGCCCAGGCTGGTCTAGAACTCCTGGGTTCAAGTAATCCACCTGTCTCAGTCTCACAAAGTACTGGGATTATAGACGTGGGCCACCATAACTGGTTCTGACTTTTTTGTTTTTATTTTATTTATTTATTTATTTTAAAGATGTGGGGTATAATTCAGGGTTAGGTATACAAATGTTCATTATGCAGGTACCCTTGTTGATTAGGTGTGTCCCTCCCTCTCCTGGCAGTTTCCTTCAACTGCCAATCCCTTTCTTATAGTATTATGATAATTGTTCTTTATACAGCTGGCACTAGTCCCCACGCCCATGCTCACCATGAAATAGTTCTCTTATGTCTGGGTTGGATCCTGGTGAAGAACCCACCCGACAAGCTCCTCTTTCACATGGTGTTACCTTTGTTTTTGTATCTAGGTTGCCACTGGCCATAGTTCCTTCTAGGTCAGAAGCAGAGGCTTTGTCATCTCCATGTCCCAGCACTGAGCCCAGCACAAGGCATCTAGCAGCCTATGACATGTTGTTGACATAATAAATTGCATCAGAACAGTTATGCCAAATGTGGGGGTGCTCAGGCTTTAGGCTTCAAAGAATACAAACTTTATGCTTTGTGGTCTATATGTTTCTGATAGTAGACAACTAGTGCAGCGGTGAAGAGATCTGGTTTTGGAGTCCATTTAAGAACAACCACAATTTCCTCAAAATTAAAAAGGGGGAAAATAATAGCTCCTTTCTCATTTGAATTTATATGGGGATTAATGAAATAAGGCATTTAAGATATCTAGTATAATGCCCAGAATGTAGTAGATGTCCTGTACTTGTAGCTTTGTTAATTTTTGTTCCTCTCTTTCTGTTCCCACTTTCTACTCTAAAAATCTGTAGATTGCTTCATTTAATCTCTTTTTGGGACTAAACACTTTTCACTATAGCCTCTGTGATGATAAAACAAAAAGTCTCCTGAAAAAAATATCTACAAAATATCTGGACATTCCCCTGCAGCTCTCGAGGAAGACATTCCCTCGCCCACCACTTTGAGGGAGGAAATGCACACGCCTGTTCTTTTTCATCAAGGAGATGCCCTTGCCTCTGAGGGGCTTCTCATCTCTTCATCGTAATCAGATGTTCTCAGAATGTCAAAGGACGTCATGAAAACCTGCCCTTCTGTTGACTACAAAGGGTAGTTTTGAGTTTTGCATTTTACTCTTCTATGCACATTTACACTTGGCTAACTATTTTCCAGACATTTGGGGAATAATTCTTGACTCCTCTCAATCTAGAAGACATGTTTTCTAAATAGTGCTTGAGACGTGGAAAGACATATTAATGTCTTTTGAATTATATTTGTTTAATCAAAAGCACATTTACTAAGCCTTAAAAGAGTAGTCTTCATACTATTTCAATGTATCAGTAATATTAGCCAGAAAAAAAAGTTATCTGTGAGTCAGAAGAAAATGATTAAGTTAGAATTTGCACTCAAACAAGACCAACATTTCACATCATTATAATAGTAATTTTAAAAACACAAATGAAATGATATTTTGCCTATAACAAAATATCTGTCCACTTTGCCTACCAGGTGCCAAAATTTTCACTACTTAGGCATGTGTGCACTAAATGTATGCATTCAACAAGTATACACTGAGTACCCACCAAGCCCTGGGCACTGTGGTAGGTGCTGAGAAACAAAGTATTAATAGACATGGCCCCTACCCTTAAGAATTTCTGCCAGCTGGGCTCAGTGGCTCAGCCTGTAATCCCAGCACTTTGGGAGGCTGAGGTGAGTGGATTGCCTGAGCCCACGGGTTCAAGACCTACCTGGGCAACTTCGTGAGACCTCATCTCTACAATAAATTAAAAATTAGCTGGTCATGGTAGCACGCACCTGTAGTTCCAGCTACTTGGAAGGCTGAGGCGGAAGGATTGCCGGAGCCCAGCAGGTCAAGGTTGCGATGGCCGGGAGCGGCCACTGCACTCCAGTCTGGGCAAAAGAGTGAGACTCCAACTCGGAAAAAAAAAAAAGAATTTATGCCAATTAATTCACAAATGAGCAAACATATGAATTCTAATTCAGTGTCATTA